CAGCCACTTTGTTATATAATAAATACGGAGAACTGAACATCCGCCTCCTGGGTCTGCATCTGGGTCATATCTGAGTCGTGATATTTAGCTTGAGGGTTAAGCCTGTAGTTTAAAAATAATAAGCAGACTTCATGGATGCCCGGCCACATTGGTCACCCCCAATAATACTAGGTTAACAGGGTCAATAGTCTCGTTTCCTTTTTCACTTCTAATAAATATACAAACGTGGAACAGTATTTCAACCACATGAACTGGAGATTGGCTGATTGAAATTCTTGAGAAACAAAGGACTCTGTTGTACCATAAGGCAAGACAAAAAAAAAACAATTACATATCTCAACATTTTTATGTGAAAATTCTCTAGTCGAAACCTTAACAATTATAAAATAATTCAAATGAATTTCAAAACAGTAATAAAACACCATGTCTAGACTGAAACCAGACAGCAGAGGCAGAGGCAGAGGAGATTGATTTGGGACATCATTTTAGAATGTAAAGCATTGCTTCATTGGCCTTCAAGAGAGCTGCGTCAAGGAGCCCTAGTGATAAGCACTGATAACCAAAAACTCTTGGTTAAGACTACGGCCTCGGGGGAGGATTGACTTATGGCATCGAGACGGAGGCACACAGACAGTTAGGGCATGGCCCCAGATCGTTGGTGTTGTCTTTCCAACATATAGGCCACAAGATGGCCCCACAACACGATCTGGCCGAACCAGGGTTTACAAGAAACATGGCTAATATGCTCCGCATGGCCACAAGTCCTTAGTAGCCAACGTCATCGGTCCTGACGCCTCTACGGTTTCCTCTCATGGACCAGGTCGTGTGAAGGAATCCGCGCTGCAGCGTGTGGGGCTCGGGTATATTCCACTGGGAATAAATTCTATGCAGCGGAAGGAAAGTTTAATCGATGGATTGATCATATTCTGATGTGGCACTTGATAAGCCAAAATGAGCTCAAAGAATAGAGGAAGGAACTAGTTAGTGTGAATCTTTGTAATATGCCCTCTACTGATGAAATGTCAAATCTATAATTATATTTGACACTAGTAGATCATTTAGAGCCTACGCAACACTGACTATACTATATCAGGAAGACAGTGTTTTTTTTGTCGGGGGCTGGGGGCGAGGGGGCATACATAGACATGCGAAAAACCAGACATACACAACAGCTTACAGATACGTAAATTTTGCCACTCAGGTCTGTTACACACACATTACACCCACAGTCACATACCAAACACGTGGCGAAACGTGTTTTCTTTCAGCTCTGCTCTGTTTATCTCAGGATTCAGAGATGTCGTTGAAGCCAGCTTGCCTGTCTGCTGAACAGTCCTGGAAGTCCTCAGGCGTATTGGGTGTCTGTTAGGTTCCTGGCACAGGCGTGATAGAGTCAGGGTCAATCTCAACGGGAGGGTCCATGCCTTTTTAAATCAAGACGCGATCTGCCACACCCGTGGTGTTGATGAAGCGCTCTCACAAAATGTGAACATTTTGTTTTTAAAATCGTGGTTCTTGCTGAGTCATAAAGTCATAAATGGAGAAATAATCTCAGTAAGACAAAAAGCAGAGCATCTCCTAAATGACCCAGGTTCAACTAGCCTGTTATAACCAGTTTACAACTTACCATTGGTGCAACACGTGTACTTCTTAGGTGGACCAAGTATACTGTCGCTTCCTGCGAGCGAAACAGACTACCGTTAACGCCCGCGCCTTCCTCTCCACTGGTTGGCCTTGTCAATGGTGTCAGACACCGGAGTCAGCCCACCCATGCTCTCGTTCCACCCTCATAGAAACCGGGCCCTGTCCAAAAACCCAAACAGACCATTGCCCACACTGTTGTTAGGAACAATACCGTAGACGTTATCATTGTGTACTTTAACAAAGGAGGAGATAAAACATAATCCACCTCTCTCTCGAATGCAGGACTAGGAGACGAGCACGAAGACGAGCCAAATAGCAAGGAGAGAAGGTAGAGTCGCTGAGAGTCAGGAGAGTAGAGAGGAGAAGCGGGAGAAGCACCAATGGAGAGCGCGAAAGCGCTAGAGAGAGAAGCGCGCAGCGAGAGATCTCTCTCCTCAATTTCAGTTGTGTTCCAGTTTAAGGGCTCTTTAGCTCTCTTTTATCTGGCACTGCTAGGAAAGAACGGCATCAAGACAAGTTACAGAGTGGAGGAAGGGTCGTTCCCTGCTGTTACCAAACATGGAGGCAGTGTAACCTGTGTCTTAGAGACTACGTGTGACGTCGCCCCGTCGCGTTAACCCGCCCTCGCTCGTTGTTCTGGTTTCTCGGTGTGTAGCTCCTGTTACCAGACCGAACCATTGCCACAAGCAAAGTGACGTAGATTGTACTTACTGACACAATAGTGTGTTGGTAAAATAAACAATAAATATTACCAACTCCGAAGTCTCCCATGCCTCCCCCCTACATTACCCGAACCTTCCGTAGCAAGTTTCAACAAAAGAAATAAAGACATTTTCCCAAATGTCAGAATTTGTATCGTTCTATAATCTCATCGAAAGTTTGTCTGTGTGGGCACTCGTGGTGTGCTTTGTTTGTAAAATAATGTGAAATAGTTATTGGATAAAGTACAAATGGGAAAATAATAACAAAATAAAAATATAAATATGTGTTTGTTTTGTTTTACAATGGTGTTTGTTTGTTCCTTCACTGGTTTGCCCTTTTTTCTTGTTTGTGTGGCACAACAGGTCACAAAATCTTGCAGCTGTGATGGCACAATTGGGTTTTTCACCCAGGTAGGAGATGTAGTTAAGTGAGTTATATGAGTTAAGTGAGTTAGTTAGTTTAAGGGAAGTTTAGTGCCAGTTTAATATGTTGAGTTAAGTTTATCATAAGTAAGGTTTCAAAACGTCGTGGACCGTAAGTAAGCTAGGCACGTTGACACCGTCTTGTTTAAGATAGTTACGTTTTCACGTTTAGAAGAAATGGTGAGGTAGTTACAGTTTATTAAAAATTATTGGGGGTTTTTGTTATAGAATATTTGTGGGGATGAGATGGTATATGTATGTGGAATATGAGGGGAGGGAATAGTTTTGGAGTCTAAATATTGGTAATAAATTTTTTTAGCCCGGAGGTTAGGGGTGGAGGTTAGGAAGTGCAGCTAGTTTCCACCTCATTTGGGGCAGTGTGCACATAGCCTTGTCTCTTGGGCCAGGTCTTGCCTACGGCGGCACTTTCTGTCAATAGAAAGGCTATGCTCACTGAGTATTGGCATAGTCAAAGCTTTAATTAAGTTTGTTAGAGCTCTAGAGAGAGAGAGAGTAGAGATAGAGAGAGAGAGAGATAGAGCGATATAGAGATAGAGAGATGAGGAGATAGACTATTATGATAGGAGAGATAGAGAAGCGGCGAATAGCCGCTCTCTATCTCTCTCCTCTCTCTATCGATCTTCTCTCATCTATATATCTCTCTCAGCAGCACGTCTGTGGCATCATCCAGCTGTCTCAACCTGATGTACTCCGACTGGGGGGCCGGTGCTGCAGGGTACAGCGGTAGGAAAACGCTTGTCCTTCCAGCCCACGTTCTGGGGTCATTCCACACAGACGCACCTGGTCATTGGTGTCCCCCGTGTGCCAAAGGGAGTTCTCAGGTGCTAACTGGACCCGATTTAGACACTTCACAGCCTGGGGATGGGGAGGGAAGAAGGAGAGAGAGGGAGAGAGGAGGAAGGAAATTGAGGGAGTGAGAGAAAGAGAAGGTAAGAAGTAAATACAAAAAGAACAAAGACTGATGTTGATTGTACAAGTCAACACACATGCACACACACACACATACACACACAGAAACCCCCCCACACACAACCTTGAGCTGGGATGCAGGCTCGGCCACTGCTATGAAGGTTGTGGCCTGGTGCCGTCAGTAGGTCTGCTCAAGTCTGTTCCACATGACCACGTAGAAGAGGAGGGAGTCCTGGTAGCCACCACAGGATGAGCACGGAGCTGACGCCTATAGCATAGCTCAGTCACTGTGTTTACACGTTGGAACGTCCCCTCAAAGTCCACCCCATCCTGAAACGTCCCAGTCCTAGTCTTACGTACCTAGGGAACACCAAACAAAGAAGTTAAGAAAGTTTAAGATCGAAACCTACGTGTAGAACAAACTTTTGATATCTAAACGAATCCCGCAATATATGATACTTGTCGATAATGCATTTTGGAAAGGGCTGTTTCTTCTTACCCCATTCAGCCCTAGTCCAGGGTCACTGTTCCATGGCCGGCCACTCACCATCTCACTTACACTTTCCCTGTTTTGAGAGATTAAAGATCCACACATTGGTCCCTCAGTCATGTTGTCAAACCTTACAAAGTAGTTTTACAACCATATTGAGCGTTTATTGCAAGTAGTCTGTAAATGGCCCAATAGGACCTGATTGCGGACCACCCAGTTGGGGCAATCTGGGCATCACCCTCGGGGGTCCGCAACCACCGTATGATAGGCTCTGAAGTCTGTCAGAGTTGATATCAGCGTTCTCTGACAGTTGTCTATTTCTGTAACAAAACCCCTTGTCATGGTCAAAGTCGACTCACCCACATCCCAACACCATCATCTGGGAGGAGAGAGAATACACAAAAGCTTAGAAATGATTGGCACAAAAAGGTTCTAAGCTCGGCATACATTAGAAAGCAGATAGTTAAGGTTGGTTTGTTGGTTGATTGGTTGGGGTTTGAAGATCAATGGTCAATGGTGACTGAGTATACGTTGTTGACGTATAGATTAGACAATTCAGCCTGACAGTTTTTTGCAGGTGTCAAAGCACTGATAACCAAACTCTTGGTTAAGACTAGGCCTCGGGTGAGGATTGAGGTCAGAGTTACAAGACAGTTAGCCTGGTCCCAGATCTGTTGGTGTTGTCTTTCCAAAATGGCAAGATGGCACAAACAGATCTGGGACCAGGGTACAAGAAAATGGAATATGCTCAGGCATGGCCAAGTCCCCATGGTCTGACTCCTCTCTTGTGTTCCCTCTCATGTCCATGTCGTGTGAAGACATTGTGCAGAGTGTGGGGCTGGTATATCACACTGGGAATAAATTCTCTGACAGGGAAGGAAGTTTATATCGATGGCTGATAATTCTGTATGTGGATGATAACGCAAAATGAGCTCAAAGAATAGAGGAAAGCTAAAGTTTGAATTGTAATATGCATGAAATGTCAAATCTATAATTCTATTTGACACTAGTAGTCATTTAGAGCACAACACTGACTATAATACTCAGGAAGACAAGTTTTTTTTTTGGGGGGGGGGCATAGACATGGAAACAGACAACATACAGTATTGCCACTGTGTACACACACATACACCACATACATTCCAAACACGTGGCGAAACGGTCTTTCTTTCAGTCTCTCTCTGTAGGATTAGAGACTGTCGTTGACGCCGTGCTGCCTGCTGAACTCCTGGAAGTCCTCAGGGATGGTGTCTGTATAGGTTAGAGGTCAGAGGTTAAGAGTCAGGGTCAATTTCAACTGAGGGTCAGTTAAATCAAGGATGCCAATGTGGTTGATGAAGGCTCACAAATGTGACACATTTTAGTTTTAAAAAATTGTGTGAGTAAAGTCATAAATGTAGAAATAATCTCAGTAAAGACAAAAGAGCATCTCAAATGACCAGTTTCAACTAGCCTGTTATAGTACTTACCATTGCAACGGTACTTTAGGTTGGACCAGATTATGTTTTCCTGAGAGAAACAGAACACGCCCAGTCGCCCTCCTCTCATGGTGGTGTCAATGGTCACACCTGAGTCAGCCACCAGCTCTGTCCCCTCATAGAAACGGGCCCTGTCCAAAAACCCAACAGACATTAGCCATTGTTGTTAGAAAACTAGAGTATCATTGTGTATTACACGGAAGATAAACACATATCTCTCTCCTCCTCTCTCTCTCTCTCTCTCTCTCTTCTCTCTCATCTCCTTCCTCGCTATCTCTCTCGTCTCTCTCTCTGCTCTCTCTCTCTGCTCTCTCTCTCTCTCTCTCTCTCTCTTTCTCCAATTTCAATTTAAGGGCTTTATTGGCATGGGAAACGTGTGTTAACATTGCCAACGCAAGTGAAGTAGATAGTAAACAAAAGTGAAATAAACAATAAATATTAACAGTAAACATTACACTCAGAAGTTTCAAATGAATAAAGACATTTCAAATGTCATATTATGTATATATACAGTGTTGTAACAATGTGCAAATAGTTAAAGTACAAATGGGAAAATAAATAAACATAAATATGGGTTGTATTTACAATGGTGTTTGTTCTTCACTGGTTGCCCTTTTCTTGTGGCAACAGGTCACAAATCTTGCAGCTGTGATGGCACACTGTGGTTTTTCACCCAGTAGTTAAGGGAGTTATCAAAATTTGGGTTTGTTTCGAATTCTTGTGGATCGCTGTAATCTGAGGGAAATATGTGTCTCTAATATGGTCATACATTTGGCAGGAGGTTAGGAAGTGCAGCTCAGTTTCCACCTCATTTTGTGGGCAGTGTGCACATAGCCTGTCTTCTCTTGAGAGCCAGGTCTGCCTACGGCGGCCTTTCTCAATAGCAAGGCTATGCTCACTGAGTCTGTACATAGTCAAAGCTTTCCTTAAGTTTGTGCTCTCTCTCTCTCTCTCTCTCTCTCTCTCTCTCTCTCTCTCTCTCTCTCTCTCTCTCTCAGCAGCCGTCCTGTGTGCATCATATCAGCTGTCTCACCTGATGTATCCGACCTGGGGCCGGTGCTGCAGGTACCAGCGGTAGGAAACCTTGTCCTTCCAGCCCACGTTCCTGGGGTCCTTCCACAACAGACGCACCTGGTCATTGGTGTCCCCCGTGTGCCAAAGGGAGTTCCTCAGGTGCTCACCTGGACCCGATTTAGACTTCACAGCCTGGGGATGGGGAGGGAGAGAGAGATGGAGAGAGGAAATTGCGAGGGAGAGAAGGTAAGAAGTAAATACAAAAAGACAAAGACTGATTTCATTGTACAATTCAACACACATGCACACACACACACATACACACACAGAACCCCCCCACACACACACCTTGAGCTGGATGCCAGGCTCGGCCACTGCTCTGAAGGGTGTGGCCTGCCAGTAGGTCTGCTCAGTCTGTTTCCACATGACCACGTAGAAGGAGGAGGAGTCCTGGTAGCCAAAGATGAAGCCTGCATAGTCATCGTCAGTCACTGTGTTTACATGGAACGTCCCCTCAAAGTCCACCCCACTGAACGCAGTGTAACCTAGGGAACAAAACAAAGAAGTTAAGATGAAATAGGAGACAACTTGATATAATACGATATGATATATGATACTTGATAATGATTTGGAAGTCTTTCTTACCCACAGCAAGTCCAGGGTCACTGTTCATGGTCTGCACAATCTCCATTCCCTGTTTGAGAGATAAAATGTCAGTCATGTTGTCAAATCAAAGTATTTTAACATATTGAGCGTATTATTTGCAGTAGTCCTGTAAATGGCCATCTGACCTGATTGAGGACCACCCAGTTGGGGTCAATCTGGGCATCACCCTCGGGGTCCAGCACCACCGTCTGATAGGCTCTGAAGTCTGTCAGAGTGATCTCAGCGTTCTCTGGACAGTTGTCTATTCTGTCAATCACCTTGTCCTGGTCAAAGTCTGACTCACACACATCCCCAACACCATCATCTGGGAGGAGAGAATACACAAAAGCTTAGAAATGATGGCCAAAAAGGTTCTAAGCATAGGCAATACATTAGTAAAGCAGAGAGTTTAAGGTTGGTTTGTTGGTTGATTGGTTGGTTGAAGATCAATGGTCAATGGTGACTGAGTATACGTTGTTTGAAGTATAGTATTAGATCAATTCAGCTACAGTTCTTTTGCAGGTGTCAAAGCTGAATGTGATGGAAAACCTTGTCAGTCCATAGGTGCTTCACTTCCTCATGTTTTACTTTCAGTAAAAAATTTGTAGTCTCATACTGTATGTGTAGTCAACTCTTCTATTGTTGTCACGCCATTTACAGCATGTTTGGCAGGACACAAACTTACACAGAGAAGAGTTGGACAAAGCCCAAACAGACTGAAACACCATGCTATAGCTTTTAGGTGATAACTCAAGAATTAATTCAGATTTAGAAAAGCGTTATTTCCCGTTGCTGGGCAATTTGGTTGCAGCAGTAAAGCAAATTAAAAAGTGTGAAAGACTGACTGTTCTCATCCAGCTGGTCGGGGTTGGCCACCAGTCTGCAGTTGTCGGGTCCCGGTGGCAGGAAGTCAGGGATGCTGTCATTGTCATCGTCATCGTCACACTCATCCCCCAGGCCGTCTTTGTCTGTGTCCAGCTGGGAGCTGTTGATCACGTTGGGACAGTTGTCTTTGGTGTCCTGGTGACCGTCACCATCACTACAGACCAGGCAGTTGATGCACAAGGAGGAGGGACAGAAAAGATAGGGTAAGGTCTTTCTCTCAAATTTTGTAAACCTTTTTTTTTTTTTTACATCCCTGTTAGTGAGAATGTATCCTTTGCCAAGATAATCCATCCACCTGACAGGTGTGGCATATCAAGAAGCTGATTAAACAGCATGATCATTACTCAGGTGCACCTTTGTTTTGGGGACAATAAAAGGCCACTCTAAAATGTGCAGTTTTGTCACACAACACAATGCCACAGATGTCTCAAGTTTTGATGGAGTGTGCAATTGGCATGCTGACTGCAGGAATGTCCATCAGAGATGTTGCCAGATAATTGAATGTTCATTTCTCTACCATAAGCTGCCTCCAACGTTGTTTTAGAGAATTTGGCGGTACGTCCAACCGGCCTCACAACCGTAGACCACGTGTATGGCGTCGTGTGGGCGAGCGGTTTGCTGATGTCAACGTTGTGAACAGAGTGCCCCATGGTGGCGGTGGGGTTATGGTATGGGCAGGCGTAAGCTACGGACAACGAATATCATTGTATTTTATCGATGGCAATTTGAATGCACAGAGGTACCGTGACAAGATCCTGAGGCCCATTGTCGTTCCATTCATCCGCCGCTATCACTTCATGTTTCAGCATGATAATGCACGGCCCTATGTCGCAAGGATCTGTACACAATTCCTGGAAACTGAAAATGCTCTGGATTGATGTGTACGACAGTGTGTTCCATTTCCCGCCAATATCCACTAACTTCACACAGCCATTGAAGAGGAGTGGGACAACATTCCACAGGCCACAATCAACAGCCTGATCAACTCTATGCGAAGGAGAAGTGTCGCGCTGCATGAGGCAAATGGTGGTCACACCAGATACTGACTGGTTTTCTGATCCATGCCCCTACCTTCTTTTTTAAGGTGTCTGTGACCAACCGATGCTTATTTGTATTCCCAGTCATGTGAAATCCATAGATTAGGGCCTAATGAATTTATTTCCACTGACTGATTTCCTTATATGAACTGTAATATCTTTGAAATTGTTGCATGTTGCGTTTATATTTTTGTTCAGGGTGTATATATATACTGTAGTTGAATATTAATCAGAATAAAGGGATGAATTGACTACTGCAATCATGTATTGACTAAATCAATTAAATCATGAAGTGGATATTTTAAGATAATACTTTTTCTCACGTCAGATACTTTAAAATATGTTTTATTTTACCTGTCTTGGTTTGTGTCACAAGAATCCCCAACCAGGTCATCATCGATGTCGGACTGAAATCAGAGCACAGATTTGTTAAAACACTTTTTGACCACTCACAGGGGACGACAGCTCAGTTGCTCCATATTCCAGTATATATCTGTAAACTGAACAGGTCTCAGAGCCCCAATGGAGGCCTGTGGAGGCAGTCTGACCTGGTTAGGATTAGGAATATCGGGGCAGCTGTCACAGGCGTCTCCCACTCCGTCTCCATCCCGGTCCAACTGGTCCCGGTTCACCACCCGCTGGCAGTTATCCAGGAAGTTCTTCAAGCCTGGAGACCAATTAAATTACAAAGTTTGAGATTGTAAAGTTATCTGACCAATAGTATCCCACCAGTCTGCAGAAGTGTTAGAGAAATACATAACAGTGCTTAAGGAAAGTAGGCTCTTTCAGGATTACTGCTTTGTGATGTATGCACACCAGGGGTAGCTGTTCTAGATATTTCAAGAACATTTGTGAAATCTCCATGGGATAAAAGTGAGCTGTAATTATGGCCCATGAGAAAATCATAAAGCATGATTTATGTGATTTGAAGGCTTACTCACTGATGTTGAATCAATGCATTATTATTTAAAGCAAACCGCATGTGGTTGATGCTGTTTCCATTGATATGCTGTTTCTAATAGTTCACTAGTTGTGCCACAGGGAGGCGCTGTTGCATTTGTCATCTGAGTGAAGTGTTTGTACAGAAGGCCCTATGTGTGTCATTTCTCATTTCTCTCAGGGAAGCAACAGTACTGTGATCATTGCATGAAGGTCAAGCGGTCTGCAGACAGAGTCTGTAAAAAGAAACCCAGACAGTCATGTACAGTATCAAAGAGTTAGGAGGACAAAGGAATACTGTGTGTATTTTTACTCTGCGTTAGTTTGAGAGGTGATTTTAGTAATGGGGTCAGGGTAGGGTTGGTGTTTGGGGGTTTCTAGACAAACGGCTGTTGGAACAGTCTACTGTGATGGTAGCTAGGTGGTAGTGATGTGTCGCTGTACGTACCGTCTCCATCCATGTCATCATCGCAGGCGTCTCCTTTCCCGTCACTGTCTGTGTCCCTCTGATCGGGGTTCTCCACCATACGACAGTTGTCACAGGCATCACCATGGCTGTCCTTGTCACTGTTCCTCTGGTCCACGTTAGGCTTCAGCCAACAGTTGTCCTGCATGGGAGAGGGGCACAGGGGGATCAGAGAGTTTGAGGGAGAGAGCTGTACTATATGTGTGTATGTGTAAGGTCTACCTGCTCATTAAGTTCTACCTGTTCATTCAGAATACCGTCTCCATCAGCGTCATCGTCACAAGCGTCTCCTTGTCCGTCCTTGTCAGCATCTTCTTGGCCAGAGTTGGGAACGCGCATGCAATTATCCTGACAACAGACAGATTTATTTCAACATACTGTTATCCCTTTAACAGACACAACATCAAAATAATATGGGGGGAGGGAAAAAGGGAGTGGGAAAGAGGGAGTGAGGAAGGAGGCAGGGGGAAAGAGGGAGTGAGGAGAGTCGGGGGAAGGAGTGGAGAGAGAGGAGGGAGTGAGGAGGGAGGGGGAAAAGAGGAGTGAGAGAGGGGGGAGAGGAGTGAGAGGAGGGGGGGGAACGAGGGAGTGAGAGGAGGAGGGGGGGGAAAGAAGGGAGTGAGAGAGAGAGGGGGGGGAGGGGGTTAGGAGGGGGGAAAGAGAGTGAGGAGGGGAGGGGGGAAAGAGGGTAGGAGGAGGGGAAAGGGGGAGTAGGAGGAGGAGGGGAGGAACAGGGAGTGGAGAGAGGGAAATGGGAGTGAGAGAGGGGAGTGAGGGGAGTGGGACGAGGAGGACGGGCAAGAGGAGGAGTGAGGGAGGAGGGGGAAAGAGAGTGAGGAGGGGGGAAAGAGGGAGTGAGAGAGGAGGAAATAGGGAGTGAGAGAGGAGGAAATAGGGAGTGAGAGGAGGAAATTAGGGGAGGAGAAAGGGGAGTGGAAGTAGGAATAGGGAGTGAGAGGGGGGAAAGAGGGAGTGAGAGGGAGAGATGGTGATACAGTGAGAGAGAAAGCGAGAGAGACGGGAAGGCACGGAAAGAGAGATCACGTTTATTCCAGGATAGTTGTATTTGTTGTGTTGTCATGGTTACCTTTTTACAGACCATATCCTTGCACTTGAGTTTCTCATCAGGGTATCCATCAATGTCTGTGTCCTTCCCACATAGGTAGCCATTACCAGCCCAGCCAATTCCACACTGACAGGGAAAATAAGAGAAAACACTTGAGGCAGTGTGTGTTTGCGTTTGTGTGTGCATGTGTGTGTAAGGCAGTCAGTAAAAGTCTGGCCTAGTTTTATAGAGTGATGAGTGTGTAATGTGTGTGTGTGTTGTTGTGTGTGTGTGTGTGTGTGTGTGTGTGTGTGTGTGTGGTGTGTGAGTGAGAGAGTTCTGTCAATGGAGGCCAGTTTGTGATCCATAGGACCCCACCTGACAGTTGATGGAGCCGTCTCTTTCTTGGATACACTGGGCGTTGACATCACAGGGGTTGGTCAGACTGTTACCACAGCTCCTCTCTGGCTTACAGCCCTTCACCTGGTCCCCTATGTAGCCTGTTTTACAGCCCCCACAGACGTATGAACCCTATAGGGTTAATATAGGGTAACAGGCAATGAGCGACATATATTACATGTAGTACTTGTACTTGTGTCAGATATTTAGCTTGGAATCCTCTTAACATTGTTCCCTTGTCCTATTGTTTAAAATGGAGCGATATTCTATTTGGATTCCAGATACTAGCCTGGTCCCCAGATCTGTTTGTGTTTCAAGCAGTTTCTGTTGTATGATAATGAAGGTCAGGAGTTGGCTGAAGCAACAAACAGATGTGGCGACCACCAGGCTATCAGACAGACACTCAGTCCTTACCGCAGAGTTGTAACAGAGAGAGTCAGCAGTGCACCCTCCGTTGTTGGGTCCTTTGCACTCATCAATGTCATCACAGACCTAAGAGATATACAGTACAAAACCGGACATGAGCATAAAAATACAAATTATGATATATAGCTTGAAAAGGTGTTCCATGATGAGTTATCCTAATAACAATGTCACCGGGTGGGGGTCGATTTCATTTCAATTCATCTTCTTGAATTGACCGAGTTGAAATGGAGGAAGACCGCTTGCTGTCGAAACGTTGGTGAATAAATGATTGCATTAGAGCTACTAGAGCGTGTAGCTTTTCCTTTACTTTAAACAAATTGAAATGGAGACCTTGACTCCAGTTGGTGATGTTGACTGACCTGTTTGTTTGTCTGTGCGTAGACCACTCCCACCCCCTCCACAGCCAGACCAGTGAAGCCCAGAGGACATGCGTCACAGCGAAACCCTGGAGCTGTGTTCACACACTTTACCCCTGCGAAGCAAGGGTTAAACTGACACTAAAGAGAGAGACAGAAGATGCTTGGTTAGTATTTTAGAATGATTACAACCATACAAATACATACAGTAAACAGACACAGACACACACACACACACACACCCTACCTCATCCACATCATCACAGCTGAAGCCGTCCCCTGTGTATCCATCAGGACAGGGTCCACACTCAACACCCTCCTCCGTCTCAATACACATATCGTCACGGAAACAAACACCAGGGGCACACTTTGGCTTCATGACCTCGCTTCCACCCAGTCCTTCAAAGACACCCAGAGGAAATATATTTTTATGACACATTTTTTCACAATACCAATGGTTTCTCATGTATTAGTTATGAATGTGTCATAAGCCAACATGCTTCAAATATAACTAGGGCCTAGGGATTTTCCTTGTCAGGTCTCATGGTCAGGAAAAACTCTTGACCCAATCTATAACAACATATGACATGTATACAGAACATTAATAAATCATTTGTAATATAATGGTGGTAGTGGATGTTCTCACCACAAGCCTGGCACTCAGAGATGGTGTTTCTAAGAAAAGATGTCTCTTTGACCTTTAGAAAGCAGCAGAAACATGTTTTTATATGGACTCAGTGGGTCAGGAAGTGCAGTTTAAGAGTTCCCAGAGGAGCTTGACCATTATAGTTACCTGCTGAATAAGGACATCTTTTAGCTCATTTATCACCTGGGTGAGCTCAAGCATTTGATTGGACAGCTGCTTTGTGTTGACCCCTGCATGGGGGAAAAACATGGGTCAAACCAAAAGACTTGAGTTGGGGTTCTTGTTTGAGCTACCCTCAATCTACAGTAACAGGGTTTTGTGTGTGAATTAGACAGTGTGTGTGTGTATATGTGTATATATATATATATATACACAGTACCAGTCAAAAGGATCTTTCTTTATTTTTACAATTTTTTACATTGTAGAATAATAGTGAAGACATCAAAGCTATGAAATAACACATGTGGAATCATGTAGTAACCAAAAAAGTTTTATATTTGAGATTCTTCAAATATCCACACTTTGCCTTGATGAGAGCTTTGCACTCTCTTGGCATTCTCTCAACCAGCTTCACCTGGGGCTGGAATGCTTTTCCAACAGTCTTGAAGGAGTTCCCACATATGCTGAGCACTACCATCTCAATTTGGTTGAGGTCGGGGGATTGTGGAGGCCAGGTCATCTGATGCAGCACTCCATCACTCTCCTTCTTGATAAAATAGCCCTTACACAGCCTGGAGGTGTGTTGGGTCATTGTCCTGTTGAAAAACAAATGATAGTCCCACTAAGCCCAAACCAGATGGGATGGCGTATCACTGCAGAATGCTGTGGCAGCCATGCTGGTTAAGTGTGCCTTGAATTCTAAAAAAATCACAGACAGTGTCACCAGCAAAGCACCCCCACACCATAACACCTCCACCATGCTTTACGATGGGAGCTACTCATGCGGAGATCATCCGTTCACCCACACTGCATCTCACAAAGACACGGCGGTTTGAACCAAAAATCTCAAATTTGGACTCCAGACCAAAGGACACATTTCCACTGGTCTAATGTCCATTGCTCATGTTTCTTGGCCCAAGCAGATCTCTTGTTATTATTGGTGTCCTTTAGTAGTGGTTTCTTTGCAGCAATTCGACCATGAAGGCCTGATTCACACAGTCCCATCTGAACAGTTGATGCTGAAATGTGTCTGTTACTTGAACTCTGTGAAGCATTTATTTGGCCTGCAATTTCTGAGGCTGGTAACTCTAATGAACTTATCCTCTGCAGCAGAAGTAACTCTGGGCCTTCCAATCCTGTGGCGGTCCTCATGAGAGCCAGTTTCATCATAGCGCTTGATGGTTTTTGCGACTGCACTTGAAGAAACTTTCAAAGTTCTTGAAATGTTCCGTATTGACTGACCTTCATGTCTTAAAGTAATGATGGACTGTCATTTCTCTTTGCTTATTTGAGCTGTTCTTGTCATAATATGGACTTGGTCTTTTACCAAATAGGGCTATCTTCTGTATACCCCCCCCCCCCCCCCCCCTACCTTGTCACAACACAACTGATTGGCTCAAACGCATTAAGAAGGAAAGAAATTCCACAAATTAACTTTTAAGAAGGCACACCTGTTAATTGAAGTGCATTCCTGGTGACTACCTCATGAAGCTGGTTGAGAGAATGCCAAGAGTGTGCAAAGCTGTCATCAAGGCAAAGGGTGGCTATTTGAAGAATCTCAAATATAAAATATATTTGATTTGTTTAACACTTTTTGGGTTACTACATGATTCCATATGTGTTACCAGCCTCAGATATTGCAGTCCAAATAAATGCTTCACAGAGTTCAAGTACACATCTCAACATTAACTGTTCAGAGGAGACTGTGTGAATCAGGCCTTCATGGTCGAATTGCTGCAAAGAAACCACTACTAAAGGACACCAATAATAAGAAGAGACTTGCTTGGGCAAGCAATGGACATTAGACCGGTGGAAATGTGTCCTTTGGTCTGGAGTCCAAATTTGAGATTTTTGGTTCAAACCGCCATGGCTTTGTGAGACGCAGTGTGTGTGTGAACGGATGATCTCCGCATGTGTATTTCCCACCGTAAAGCATGGAGGAGGAGGTGTTATGGTGTGGGGGTTCTTTGCTGGTGACACTGTCTGTGATTTTTTTAGAATTCAAGGCACACTTAACCAGCATGGCTACCACAGCATTCTGCAGTGATACGCCATCCCATCTGGTTTGGGCTTAGTGGGACTGGTTTGGGCTCTGGAGACCTGGCCAACCACAATCAAATTGAGATGGTTTGGGATGAGTCGGACCGCAGAGTGAAGGAAAAGCAGCCAACAAGTGCTCAGCATATGTGGGAACTCCTTCAAGACTGTTGGAAAAGCATTCCAGGTGAAGCTTGTTGAGAGAATGTTTAACACTTTTTTGGTTACTACATGATTCCATATGTGTTATTCCATAGTTTTGATGTCTCCACTATTATTCTACAATGTAGATAATAGTAAAAATAAAGAAACATCCTTGAATGAGTGGGTGTTCTAAAACCTTTGAACGGTAGTGTGTGTATGTATGTATATATATATATATATAGACTGTATATATAGACTGTATATATATATATATACTGTATATATATACTGTGTATATATTTATACAGTGAGGGAAAAAAGTATTTGATCCCCTGCTGATTTTGTACGTTTGCCCACTGACAAAGAAATGATCAGTCTATAATTTTAATGGTAGGTTTATTTGAACAGTGAGAGACAGAATAACAACAACAAAATCCAGAAAAACGCATGTAAAATTTTTTATAAATTGATTTGCATTTTAATGAGGGAAATAAGTATTTGACCCCTCTGCAAACATGACTTAGTACTTGGTGGCAAAACCCTTGTTGGCAATCACAGAGGTAAAATGTTTCTTGTAGTTGGCCACCAGGTTTGCACACATCTCAGGAGGGATTTTGTCCCACTCTTCTTTGCAGATCTTCTCCAAGTCATTAAGTCGAGGCTGACGTTTGGCAACTCGAACCTTCAGCTCCCTCCACAGATTTTCTATGGGATTAAGGTCTGGAGACTGGCTAGGCCACTCCAGGACCTTAATATGCTTCTTCTTGAGCCACTCATTTGTTGCCTTGGCCGTGTGTTTTGGGTCATTGTCATGCTGGAATACCCATCCACGACCCATTTTCAACACCCTGGCTGAGGGAAGGAGGTTTCACCCAAGATTTGACGGTACATGGCCCCGTCCATCATCCCTTTGATGTGGTGAAGTTGTCCTGTCCCCTTAGCAGAAAAACACCCCCAAAGCATAATGTTTCCACCTCCATGTTTGACGGTGGGGATGGTGTTCTTGGGGTCATAGGCAGCATTCCTCCTCCTCCAAACACAGCGAGTTGAGTTGATGCCAAAGAGCTCTATTTTGGTCTCATCTGACCACAACACTTTCACCCAGTTCTCCTCTGAATCATTCAGATGTTCATTGGCAAACTTTAGACGGGCATGTATATGTGCTTTCTTGAGCAGGGGGACCTTGCGGGCGCTGCAGGATTTCAGTCCTTCACGGCGTAGTGTGTTACCAATTGTTTTCTTGGTGACTATGGTCCCAGCTGCCTTGAGATCATTGACAAGATCCTCCCGTGTAGTTCTGGGCTGATTCCTCACTGTTTTCATGATCATTGCAACTCCACGAGGTAAGATCTTGCATGGAGCCCTAGGCCGAGGGAGATTGACAGTTATTTTGTGTTTCTTCCATTTGCGAATAATCGCACCAACTGTTGTCACCTTCTCACCAAGCTGCTTGGCGATGGTCTTGTAGCCCATTCCAGCCTTGTGTAGGTCTACAATCTTGTCCCTGACATCCTTGGAGAGCTCTTTGGTCTTGGCCATGGTGGAGAGTTTGGAATCTGATTGATAGATTGCTTCTGTGGACAGGTGTATTTTATACAGGTAACAAGCTGAGATTAGGAGCACTCCCTTTAAGAGTGTGCTCCTAATCTCAGCTCGTTACCTGTATAAAAGACACCTGCGAGCCAGAAATCTTTCTGATTGAGAGGGGGTCAAATACTTATTTCTCTCATTAAAATGCAAATCAATTTATAAAATTTTTGACATGCGTTTTTCTGGATTTTGTTTTTGTTATTCTGTCTCTCACTGTTCAAATAAACCTACCATTAAAATTATAGACTGATAATTTCTTTGTCAGTGGGAAAACGTACAAAATCAGCAGAGGATCAAATACTTTTTTCCCTCACTGTATATATATATATATATACAGTGGGGAAAAAAGTATTTAGTCAGCCACCAATTGTGCAAGTTCTCCCACTTAAAAAGATGAGAGAGGCCTGTAATTTTCATCATAGGTACACGTCAACTATGACAGACAAAATGAGAAAAATAATTCCAGAAAATCACATTGTAGGATATTTTATGAATTTATTTGCAAATTATGGTGGAAAATAAGTATTTGGTCAATAACAAAAGTTTCTCAATACTTTGTTATATACCCTTTGTTGGCAATGACACAGGTCAAACGTTTTCTGTAAGTCTTCACAAGGTTTTCACACACTGTTGCTGGTATTTTGGCCCATTCCTCCATGCAGATCTCCTCTAGAGCAGTGATGTTTTGGGGCTGTCACTGGGCAACACGGACTTTCAACTCCCTCCAAAGATTTTCTACGGGGTTGAGATCTGGAGACTGGCTAGGCCACTCCAGGACCTTGAAATGCTTCTTACGAAGCCACTCCTTCGTTGCCCGGGCGGTGTGTTTGGGATCATTGTCATGCTGGAAGACCCAGCCACGTTTCATCTTCAATACCCTTGCTGATGGAAGGAGGTTTTCACTCAAAATCTCACGATACATGGCCCCATTCATTCTTTCCTTTACACGGATCAGTCGTCCTGGTCCCTTTGTAGAAAAACAGCCCCAAAGCATGATGTTTCCACCCCCATGCTTCACAGTAGGTATGGTGTTCTTTGGATGCAACTCAGCATTCTTTGTCCTCCAAACACGACGAGTTGAGTTTTTACCAAAAAGTTCTATTTTGGTTTCATCTGACCATATGACATTCTCCCAATCCTCTTCTGGATCATCCAAATGCACTCTAGCATACTTCAGACGGGCCTGGACATGTACTGGCTTAAGCAGGGGGACACGTCTGGCACTGCATGATTTGAGTCCCTGGCGGCGTAGTGTGTTACTGATGGTAGGCTTTGTTACTTTGGTCCCAGCTCTCTGCAGGTCATTCACTAGGTTCCCTCGTGTGGTTCTGGGATTTTTGCTCACTGTTCTTGTGATCATTTTGACCCCACGGGGTGAGATCTTGCGTGGAGCCTCAGATCGAGGGAGATTATCAGTGGTCTTGTATGTCTTCCATTTCCTAATAATTGCTCCCACAGTTGATTTCTTCAAACCAAGCTGCTTACCTATTGCAGATTCAGTCTTCCCAGCCTGGTGCAGGTCTACAATTTTGTTTCTGGTGTCCTTTGACAGCTCTTTGGTCTTGGCCATAGTGGAGTTTGGAGTGTGACTGTTTGAGGTTGTGGACAGGTGTCTTTTATACTGATAACAAGTTCAAACAGGTGCATTCATACAGGTAATGAGTGGAGGACAGAGGAGCCTCTTAAAGAAGAAGTTACAGGTCTGTGAGAGCCAGACATCTTGCTTGTTTGTAGGTGACCAAATACTTATTTTCCACCATAATTTGCAAATTAATTAATAAAAAATCCTACAATGTGATTATCTGGAATTTCTTTTCTCAATTTGTCTGTCATAGTTGACGTGTACCTATGATGAAAATTACAGGCCTCTCTCATCTTTTTAAGTGGGAGAACTTGCACAATTGGTGGCTGACTAAATACTTTTTTTCCCCACTGTATATATACTGTGTATATATATGAGCATTCTATCACCATTTAGTTGCTTTCATGAAAAGTGGTTGGGTGACGTATAAGAAAAGGCCTTTCCTTAAAACAAATGTGTATGTGTAAACTAGACAGTAGAGACTAAATTAACAGTTTAGGGAACACACAGGAATAAGAGCTGGTTTGTTTTTTCTCATAAACTCTTACCCAGAGTCTGCACTGAGTCTCCTTGTTGGTGGCAGTTTTGTAGAGCGGCTACGTTCTCGAACGTGTCACCCACCACCAGTTTCAGCTCTTCCAGCTCCTCCTGTTTGTGAAGAAGTCCAATGACAGGGATGCATTAGTTGGAATCAGTGCTGATGGATGGGCTTGATTAGGACAAGGTGGTTGCCAGATTTGTTTTCTGGTTGCCAGATTTGTTCCTGTTGTGGCCAAATCTAAATCGTTGACAAATGCAGAATTTTCGATAATAATAATATGCCATTTAGCAGACGCTTTTATCCAAAGTGACTTACAGTCATGTGCGCATACATTTTTACGTATGGGTGGTCCCGGGGATTGAACCCACTACCCTGGCGTTACAAGCGCCATGCTCTACCAATTGAGCTACAGAGGACCACAGGATAGGCAAGGATTTGGCAAGATCTGGCACCAATGCTAGGGTTAGAGTCATTTGAATTGGGAAGGAGGATCTATGAGTAAATAAGTGACATCACATCCGGTGTCCCTGAGTACAAAGGCAACAAAGGTAATGGTTTGGGATGGGTAACAGAAACATCTATGTTTCTATGAGTAAACAAGGCAACAGTAAACATGTTGTTCCCCACGAATGATGAAGCGCCCCCCTTGGGCCTATCAGTGTAATTTTGTAAATTCCAGATCTCTATGGATTTCTATGGCAAGATGCATCATACACCCAAGTTTCCTCAAGATCGGGCCAATCAGTCTAATTTTGTAAATGCTGGATCTCTATGGCAAAATCCAGTCAAAATCGGGTCAGTGGTGTCTGAGATATTGCATGTGACGTTCTTACGTACGAACAGACGGAGACAGATCCATAGTCCCCTTCCCGATTTCATTGGTGAGGGACAATAATGATTGCGTCGCATATGATGTGCTTCATTTGAACAACATCCAATCTGACAATGGTCAAACGTAGTGCACTATATAAGTAATAGGTTGCCATTTGAGACGAATCCCATAACATCACCTCTGCTTTGCCCTGCATGCTCTTCAGCTCCACCACGCCGTAGCCTGCAGGCAGGCCCTGAAACACGGAGGGGAGGTCCCTGACTGTCTCCACCAGTCTGCAGTCCAGGTGTAGCTCCACCCCCCCTGGTCCCTGCTGAATCCCCTTCAGGTGGAAGAGGAGACGGTGGCGCTGACCGTCCGCCAGTGGGATGTTGTTGAAGGTCACAGAGCTCATCCTCCGATCACTCCTCAGGTAACGCAGCATGGCTGGGAGAGAGGGAGTGAGGGAGAGAGGGAGTGAGGGAAAGAGGGAGTGAGGGAGTGAGGGAGTGAGGGAGTGAGGGAGAGAGGGAGTGAGACAAAAATAAGAAGGCCATAGGGTGGAACATTACATGAGATGGAGAGTGAATCACAGCAAATGCGTCAATGAATTGAATACATTAATAATGTAGAAGGAGAAAGGCGAAAGTAATGAAATGGAAAGATAGAGAGAACCTTTTCAATATCACATTTTAAAGAAAAGTGCAATATATTATACATCCCTATCCTCCGAGCCATTGTGCACCTAATTTCTTTGTGGCTGCACTGATGGCCAAATTCGATGTCTTTGAATTAATAATGCGTAAAAGAAACAATATCTTCTATATCTTCAGTGTACAAGTGGATAAACCCCCTCAGTTGGGCATTACATCCCTAGCCTCTCCTTCCTAACAATTACCTCTGTTGAGTTTCCCCAGCACAGTGAACTCAAAGTACTTGCTGTTGTCCCGGGGGTTGTACAGACCGAACACGGTGGTGCCAGTCTTCGGCTGCAGTTTAAAGGTGGTGAGGATGAACGCCTCATTCACCCCCTGCTCCACTAGGCCGCCCTGCAGCAGGTCTGGCAGACAGTCCGGGGAGTTTAGGAGATCATAGACTGCAGAGGGAAATAGTTAAGTAAAGTAACAAAGTAAAGTTCAAATTATTCAAACTGTCTGTGGCTCAGTAGAGCGAGAATAAACACACCTATATAGATGGATGGGATGGTTATTGAGCAAGGTGTTTTGGATGTACCGTGGGGAAAGTGCACTTCAATACTTTATAGACTAAACTGGGCTGAAACATCAGTTAGTTTGGCTAGCTGGTGGGAAATGTTAAATTGCCTGCTCTGCAGCAGTATTTCTTCACTTTTTCCTGAGCTAGAGGTTTTGATGTGCTGTGAAGACACTGGTGGTCAAGAGAGAGTACAGATGAAGGATGTTAATTTGATCATTCTTTTGTTGCTGAGAATTTTCCTGCAAATCAGGAAATGCAAACTTGTAGTTTAAAAAGGCTTCTAAAGTTTGTAATTTCCACTTAAAAACGTCAGACTTTATTTGCCCTAACAAATAATTTATCAACCCCTACAAAAAATATCCATTCATTATAATCCACATACAGGGCCGGATTAACAAATCATTATTGGAATTATTTTATTGGAACTCAGTAGGAGTCTCCACTTACTGTGGTTATGTCAGTCACTGACAGTCACTCAATTAGCCATGTCAGCTAACAATTTTTAGATTGGTAAATTAGTCTAGCCAGCTATCTAGACTTGTAAACATGGCCGAATACCGAACAGGCACGCAGGGCAAGTGCCCAGGGGCCCTGACCTCCAGGAGGCCTGACTCCCACTGAGATATCATTAACATAGCATAAGTCATGGCAAAATGTGTAGAATTGCAGGAAATGTACTTTCTGTCTGCCATCAAAGTGTTTTGCCCACGAGGTGGGGGGCCCCCCAACCAAATCTCGCTTAGGGCCCCCAAAAGGGCCCCCTGAATCAGTTACCCAACCAAGACAGGACCCACCAGTTAACCACATGGACCCCCTACCTCCTCTTCTCCACCCATCTGATGATTAGCAGAGCGGGCTCCTGAGTCCTTGGTTGCAGTAAAAAACTTAAATATATACACAGTTGAAGTCGGAAGTTTACATACACCTTAGCCAAATACATTTAAAGTCAGTTTTTCACAATTCCTGACATTTAATCCTAGTAAAAATTCCCTGTCTTAGGTCAGTTAGGATCACCACTTTATTTTAAGAATGTGAAATGTCAGAATAATAGTAGAGAGAATGATTTATTTGAGCTTTTATTTCTTTCATCACATTCCCAGTGGGTCAGAAGTTTACATACACTCAATTAGTATTTGGTAGCATTGCCTTTAAATTGTTTAACTTGGGTCAAACGTTTCAGGTAGCCTTCCACAAGCATCCCACAATAAATTTTGGCCCATTCCTCCTGACAGAGCTGGTGTAACTGAGTCAGGTTTGTAGGCCTCCTTGCTCGCACACGCTTTTTCAGTTCTGCCCACACATTTTCTATAGGATTGAGGTCAGGGCTTTGTAATGGCCACTCCAATACCTTGATTTTGTTGTCCTTAAGCCATTTTGCCACAACTTTGGAAGTATGCTTGGGGTCATTGTCCATTTGGAAGACCCATTTGCGACCAAGCTTTAACTTCCTGACTGATGTCTTGAGATATTGCTTCAATATATCCACATCATTTTACTTCCTCATGATGCCATCTATTTTGTGAAGTGCACCAGTCCCTCCTGCAGCAAAGCACCCCTACAGCATGATGCTGCCACCCCCGTGTTTCACGGTTGGGATGGTGTTCTTCGGCTTGCAAGGGACCCCCTTTTTCCTCCAAACATAATGGTGTCATTATGGCCAAACAGTTCTATTTTTGTTTCATCAGACCAGAGGACATTTCTCCAAAAGGTACGATCTTTGTCCCCATGTGCAGTTGCAAACCATAGTCTGGCTTTTTTATGGCGGTTTTGGAGCAGTAGCTTCTTCCTTGCTGAGTGGCCTTTCAGGTTATGTCGATATAGGACTCGTTTTACTGTGGATATAGATACTTTTGTACCTGTTTCCTCCAGCATCTTCACAAGGTCCTTTGCTGTTGTTCTGGGATTGATTTGCACTTTTCGCACCAAAGTACATTCATCTCTAGGAGACAGAACGCGTCTCCTTCCTGAGCGGTATGATGGCTGTGTGGTCCCATGGTGTTTATACTTGCGTACTATTGTTTGTACAGATGAACGTGGTACTTTTAGGCATTTGGAAATTGCTCCCAAGGATGAACCCGACTTGTGGACATCTACAATTGTTTTTCTGAGGTCTTGGCTGATTTCTTTTGATTTTCTAATGATGTCAAACAAAGAGGCACTGAGTTTGAAGGTAGGCCTTGAAATACATCCACAGGTACACCTCCAATTGACTCAAATGATGTCAATTAGCCTATCAGAGGCTTCTAAAGCCATGACATAATTTTCTGGAATTTTCCAAGCTGTTTAAAGGCACAGTCAAGTTAGTGTATGTAAACTTCTGACCCACTGGAATTGTGATACAGTGAATTATAAGTGAAATAATCTATCTGTAAACAATTGTTGGAAAAATTACTTGTGTCATGCACAAAGTAGATATCCTAACCGACTTGCCAAAACTATAGTTTGTTAACAAGAAATTTGTGGAGTGGTTGAAAAACAAGTTTTAATGACTCCAACCTAAGTGTATGTAAACTTCTGACTTCAACTGTGTACTACATATACAATATATAATGTATATATAATATACTGTATACTGCATATATTTCCATTATTTATTTATTTATTTTGCCTCTTGGGCTCTTGGGCCCCCTACGGGCCTGGGCCCAGGGGCTTCAGCACCTGTAAACCCCTGCATTAATCCGGCCCTGTCCACATAATAATTCACATTTTCTGTTGCTGCAGGAGTATTTTCCTGCTGTAGAAAACTGGCTCAAATTAAGATCCTACATCTGTAGGCTAGTTGATGAGGCAGATGAGGCAGAATATGCTGATGATTGCTGAAGTTTTGATGTGCTGAGAACAAGGGCAGACTGGGACCAGAAATCGGCCCTGGCATTTCTAACACACCGGCCGAGTTTTTCCCTTGAGGCACCCACACCAGCCCATTTCTTTCCTCGTGGCCACCACACCGGCCAATTTATTTTTCTCCTTCTGAACCACATTTTTAGTCAGATGATGATCATCTTGCACAAAAACCCAAGTTAAAAATGGACCAGCCGATTTGGCATTTGCCGAATTGCCAAATGGCCAGTCCACCCCTGGCTGAGAAGATACTGGTGGTCAAGAGAGAGTAGGTTGGTTGATGAGGCAGATGAGGCAGAATATGAGGTTTGGGTAAAACATTTGTACCTTTATCAGAATGTATGGTATTTTGATAATTTTTGAGCTAGTAGTTTTGATGTACAGAAGGGATACTTTATGTCAATATACAGTAGACTAGAATTGTCTGGAAGATCAAGATCAGGCTAATTTTGTCTCGGTCCAAATAACCCAGTGGGTCTTTTGCTTGACCACTTGGCATTAGATAAATTCCACCAAAAATGGCATTAGATAAATATGGATAAACTATAATGTACTCAGTGCTCAGGGAGTGGAATGTAGAAGCCATTGAAGAGTTAAGGCCAAGGTTCCAAGTCTAGTCCAATAAAGTCACTCCGTGACACAGCAAGCCTCAGGAGGATGTGCCTTGAATCCCTCCCCGCCAGTCTGAGACATGAATACACAAGTGCCCTAGCAGATGTCTATAAGGCACACTGTCGTGAGGGCAACAAATTGCTCCCAAATGCTTCCAGAAAATTGCCCTCATATCCCCTGCTCTTCTCACCCAAGATTGCAGAGTGTGATCCCCAGACAAGATCTCGTGTGTTCAGCTTCAGACATCTTTGTTCTTTTCTCTTGCCCCCAGTCTTTACTCCGGTTCCCACTGCCTGGCCTCAGTCTGTTCTAGCTCATCGGGGAACAGCACGGGGGCTTTTAAAAGGCGTGTGGTTAAATGTGACTGGAGCCACAAAAACAGGCTGCCTTTTCATGCCGTTTCTTGCGCTCAATTTCACCTTTACAAACACAGACAGACCTGGTTTGTGAAAGGCTTCAGCATCACTATTGTCCCCCTCACCTGTGGAGGGAGGTTAGGCAAACATCGTGACTTGGCCTCAACGTGACTTGGCCTGCAAACTGGGACTGGGGGTGTACCAACAAAACAATCTAAACAAACCCACTCTATTCTCATCCATCTGTTTAGACACACTATACACACACACACACTCACTCCCATCTGTGTTTTAGACTCAGGGCCATGTGTGGGTCAGGATCTCCATGAGAAAGGATCAGATTTCATCCCCAGAGCCACCACTTGTCCTCTCAAGATCTATCAAGACACACAAAACCATGTCCTTCAAATCCACCTAAATCCACCGAAAACAATCTCTTAACCAAGTGAAATAAACTACTGCATAAAGTAAAAACAAGTCACATAAAGTCACGGTTGTTTGTTTAAAAACCTCTTAGATGTAACTAAATGTAATCGAAAAAGTAATCTGTTATAAATTGCTGAGGTGTAGTCACTTTTGACAGTACACAGTAAAAATATGATAAAAATGAAATATTTTATGATGTATTTCATATTCAACAAAACTGTGTGAATAAGGAATGAAATGACTTATATTTTTTCTAAGTAAAATTACTAACTATACGATTTCACAAAACGTATAACTGTAAAATACACTATATATACAAAAGTATGTGGACACTCCTTCAAATTAGTGGATTTGGCTATTTCAGCCACACCCGTTGCTGACAGGTGTATAAAATTGAGCACACAGCCATGCAATCTCCATAGACATTGGCAGTAGAATGGCCTTACTGGAGAGCTCAGTGATTTTCAACGCGGCACCATCATAGGATGCCACCTTTGCAACAACGTCAAATTTCTGCCCTGCTAGAGCTGCCCAGGTCAACAGTAAGTACTGTTATTGTGAAGTGGAAATGTCTAGGAGCAACAACGGCTCAGCCGCGAAGTGGTAGGCCACACAAGCTCACAGAACAGGACCGCCGAGTGCTGAAGCGCGTAGCGTGTAAAAATCATCTGTAATCGGTTGCAACACTCACTACCGAGTTTCAAACTGCCTCTGGAAGCAACAGGTGTCCACATACTTTTGGTCATGTAGTCTACATATTTGTATATTTAGTGTTAGAGAAAATGTGCATATTTTCTAAATGTCTCTCTTGATCAAAACATCGGCCCCCATAGCTTGGCTTCCTGAACTCGTTAGGAACTCACCTTTCATCTCATATTAATATTGTCCATCTATGACAAACAGAACGTTTTTGTTTTGTTTTTTTATCTATGAATTAGTTTCGATTACTGGCTATAAATCAATCTCTGAATGTGCTACAGCGAACAACCCACTCTCCTGTTGCATTACGATGTAAGGATTCCAGACATATGTTAGTGGCTGTGACGTAGGGTCCAGCCAGGAGTTGATGGACAGTCGGAAGAGCGAATAAAATGGTAGGAGGGACATCCCAACTTCAATTGGTGTCAGATTTTACATCCTGCTTCACACCGGCAGAAGAGAATCAGGGCTACCACTCAATGCAAGCCATTTCGATCTACACTACCGGTCAAAAGTTTTAGAACATCTACTCATTCAAGGGGTTTTGTTTATTTTTGCTATTTTCTACATTGTAGAATAATAGTGAAGACATCAAAACTATGAAATAACACATATGGAATCATGTAGTAACCAAAAAAGTGTTAAACAAATCTAAATATATGTTATATTTGAGATTCTGTGTGCATGCGTGTCTGGGTGTGTATTTGCTCAGACTCCAGTATTGCATACAGACCATTAGTGATTACTCCCATGTGTGTGATTAAGTTGGGACTTTGTTTAAATCAGAGCCAGACTGCAGAGCCCCCCCACACACATACACACACACAGACATACACACGCACAGAGTCACACCTCAGTCATCAGTACACAACATTCTTCTGAAGGATGTCTTTTCAATCTTCTCACCACAAATGCTATAGAGGAATATTTATCATAACAGAGTATCCAATGCCATGTGTAGCCCTTTGTGTATATTGGATTTAGTACGAATGAATATTATATTCTCAATCACAGTGTCTGTGTATAACATTACCCCCCCCCCCCCCCCCCCCCCAAAGGAAAAATAAATATCACCCTTGCCTTTCTTTGCACTAACACTTGGACTTCTCTTGTCTTACTTTGCTGATAGCTACTTTATTGAGGAAAAATGTACTTACTATGACTGTGATATGCGGTTGTCTCACCTAGCTATCTTAAGATGGATGCACTAACTGTAAGCCGCTCTGGATAAGAGTGTCTGCTAAATGACTAAAATGTAAATAAAAAAGCAATAACTTCAAAATACTTTGTTGTGCCATTGCATTGTTTCAATAGACTTTACCGACCACATCAAGATCACATTGGCATCACATTCAGTAATAATAATAAAAATAAATCTCAGCTACACTCACCTGAGCCCTGGGCTCCCACGTCCGAGCACAGGTTTAATATCAGCTGCAAAGCCACGATCAGCGTTGTCCACAGCCCCATTCTTTCCTCTCACTGTCCTCCGACCTGGTTCTCTGGAGTGACTGATCCCTATCGGACAGAGTGGTGCTCGTCCTGTACTGTTGCCTGGTATGTGTGTTTGTAGAGACAGAGGTGAGTCTAAGCTGTCATAGTGAGGCAGGGAACAGCTGCTGTGTGTTGCTGACTGGGGAGGACGGGAGGCTGACTAAGGGGGCGAACAGGGCCAGAGATGGTTTAAGCTTTCCTTAGACGGCCACATGCAGAGAAGGAGTGACCAAGACATCCTCCACCGTATTGGCTGCCATGGATGGATGTTGTGTGTGGGTGGGTGTGTGTGTGAGTTGGGATAGGGTGTGTGTGGGATGTGGTGGTGGTGTGTGTGTGTGCACATGTATGCATGCAGGGCTTCCTCCATGGTTCAGGAACTCCAGCAAGCCAGGTTAAAAAATGCTTGACTTTTTGATCTGTGCCACCTTTCAGATCAGCAGTCTGACTCCTGGCAGTCAGGAGGCATTTTATTGCCACACACCTCCTCCTCCCAAACACTGTTAGGGATTCCTTCAGGTTTTCAGTGGTTCAGATGCAACACATTTCCCCTGCGTCCTGACTTCCCCTTCATCCCCAAGCTTTGGACAGGAAATGAGCGGTCTGGAAAACCAAATTAAAGCCACAATCCATCATTCGTTTTTCAGGACAACGGAAGCCCCACCACTTGGTTGTGCTATAAAGCTGAGGGATGGGGCTGGAGAAATGTAATGAGCTATATTGATGCAAGGACTAACAATCCATGAGATAAATATGGTATTTTTAGAAGCATATTTGGAAGCTATACGTTGTTCTTTTACAAAGACATTGTTATAAACAATGGAGTAAAACAACCATATATTTTGGGATGTGATAGGAAAAGGTTTTAAAAAAAAAAAGAATGAATGTATACATTCATTTAAATGACCATTGAATAGATTCCCAGATCCCAGACTGTAGCTTTAATAAGCCCAGCACAGTCACCGAGGTCAACACAGCGTTAGACAAGCCAGAACACACAGTCAACATGTCTGGCACCAAACTACTCGTCACATTTGGCATAGATGATCAAACAGGAGGCTTAATAATGTTTGTTTTTCGTTCTTTTATCGCTTTTTTTTGTGCCCTTTAAGAGCATGGAGGCTTGTTCCATTTGGAGATTTCAAGGCATTTGTGGTTCCAAAGTACTTAGCTAATCGAGACTACCGCAGTGAGCAGCTAGCTACTGGCAGAGGAAGCTAGCAACTGAAGAAACTTCTGATTAAGAAAACTTGGAAATTTATCTATAAGAGGTTTTTGGTTGTACTGCTGCTGTGTTGTACAAGGCAGCTAGAAGTGTGGTTAGTAGTGCATTCTTCATTGATTCAGTCTAACTGAAGTCTACACAAGATGGCTGCAGTGCAAAGCTGCTCCTTAAATGGACAAACAGTGGAGAGAAGGGAACTCCAAACCCCAAATTACAACCTCCACATTGGGCTTCTCTTTGTCATTAGACTCAGCTGTAAAGCCAAAGGCTTAATAATCACCCCCACAGCCTGTGGGATTGTATTTGTCTGCAAACATATGAGCCAGTATGGTAAGATGCAGTGAGACTTCAAGAGATTTCTAGGGCAGTGCTGGTGAGAATACAAATGAAGTTGCTTGAGTTATGCCCCAAGGTGCTGTACAGGGCAGAGAATGTCATCCATCTTACTCTGTCTGTTTAGGTTCCACGTTTTTCCAGGTCGCGCCAATCGAGAGTATGAATTATACATTGCTTAATTTTCTAGGGTCAAAAGAGGGCCAGAAAATATATTCTGAATCAATGCGTGTAAATGAGGATTTTAAAATGTAATGCATTCGGTATAACTAATGCAGATTTATTCCTTCTTTAGCTGTTATTTTAGGAGGCTTTCTGAAAAAATGCTTAGTGTAACCTGACAATAAACCTAGCCTTAGGCAGGATTGTTCTTAGCCCAGGATAGGACACAGTCGAAACAGATAATTGTTCCTTTATATGTAGCCCCGGGAGTTTTTCCTGTCCAAGTGAACTTGAAAATCTCTGGTAAAACTCCTTAGTTATAAACTATTTTATTTTTTATTTTTCATTTAACCTTTATTTAACTAGGCAAGTCAGTTAAAAACAAATTCTTATTTACAATGACGGCCTACCAAAAGGCAAAAGGCCTCCTGCCGGGACGGGGGCTGGGATTAAAATAAATAAATAATAATAATAATATATAGGACCAAACACACATCACAACAAGAGAGACAACACAACACTACATAAAGAGAGACCTAAGACAACAACATAGCATGGCAGCAACACACGACAACACAGCAAGGTAGCAACCCAACATGAAAACAACATTGTAGCAACACAACATGGCAGCAGCACAACATGGTAGCAGCACAAGACATGGTACAAACATTATTGGGCACAGACAACAGCACAAATGGCAAGAAGGTAGAGACAACAATATATCACGTGAAGCAGCCACAACTGTCAGTAAGAGTGTCCATGATTGAGTCTTTGAATGAAGAGATGGAGATAAAACTGTCCAGTTTGAGTGTTTTTTGCAGCTCGTTCCAGTCGCTAGCTGCAATAAACTGGAAAGAGGAGCGACCCAGGGATGTGTGCTTTGGGGACCTTTAACAGAATGTGATTGCGGAACGGGTGTTGTATGTGGAGGATGAGGGCTGCAGTAGGTATCTCAGATAGTGGGGAGTGAGGCCTAAGAGGGTTTTGTAAATAAGCATCAACCAGTGGGTCTTGCGACGGGTATATAGAGATGACCAGTTTACAGAGGAGCATAGAGTGCAGTGTCCTATAAGGAGCATTGGTGGCAAATATGATGGCCGATTGGTAAAGAACATCTAGCCGCTCGAGAGCTCCCTTACCTGCCAATCTATAAATTACGTCTCCGTAATATAGCATGGGTAGAATGGTCATCTGAATCAGGGTTAGTTTGGCAGCTGGGGTGAAAGAGGAGCGATAACGATAGAGGAAACCAAGTCTAGATTTAACCTTAGCCTGCAGCTTTGATATGTGCTGAGAGAAGGACAGTGTACTGTCTAGCCATATTCCCAAGTACTTGTATGAGGTGACTACCTCAAGCTCTAAACCTTCAGAGGTAGTAATCACACCGGTGGGGAGGGGGGCATTCTTCTTACCAAACCACATGACCTTTGTTTTGGAGGTGTTCAGAACAAGGTTAAGGGCAGAGAAAGCTTGTTGGACACTAAGAAAGCTTTGTTGTAGAGCGTTTAACACAAAATCCGGGGAGGGGCCAGCTGAGTATAAGACTGTATCATCTGCATATAAATGGATGAGAGAGCTTCCTACTGCCTGAGCTATATTGTTGATATAAATTGAGAAGAGCGTGGGGCCTAGGATCGAGCCTTGGGGTACTCCCTTGGTGACAGGCAGTGGCTGAGATAGCAGTTGTTCTGACTTTATACACTGTACTCTTTGAGAGAGGTAGTTAGCAAACCAGGCCAAAGACCCCTCGGAGACACCAATACTCCTTAGCCGGCCGACAAGGATGGAATGGTCGACCGTATCAAAAGCTTTGGCCAAGTCAATAAAAATAGCAGCACAACATTGCTTAGAATCAAGGGCAATGGTGACATCATTTAGGACCTTTAAGGTTGCAGTGACACATTCATAACCTGAGCGGAAACCAGATTGCATACCAAAGAGAATACTATAGACATCAAGAAAGCCAGTCAGCTGAATATTGACAAGTTTTTCCAACACTTTTGATAAACAGGGCAAAATAGAAATTGGCCTGTAACAGTTAGGATCAGCTTGATCTCCCCCTTTAAATAAAGGATGCACCGTGGCTGCCTTCCAAGCAATGGGAACCTCCCCAGAGAGGAGAGACAGGTTGCAAAGGTCAGAGACAGGCTTGGCGATGATAGAGGCTGCAACCTTAAAGAAGAAAGGATCTAAACCATCTGACCCAGATGTTTTTTTGGTGTCAAGTTTAAGGAGCTCCTTTAGCACCTCGGACTCCGTGACCGCCTGCAGGGAAAACTTTGTAGAGGGGCAGGGGGAAAAGAGGGAGGTGCATCAGGGCTAGTCTCATTAGAAGGACTGGGAGATGAGGAAATGTTGGACGGGCAAGGAGGCATGGCTGAGTCAAATAGGAATCCTGACTTAATGAAGTGGTGATTAAAGAGCTCAGCCATGTGCTCTTTGTCAGTAACAACCACATCATCAACATTAAGGGACATGGGCAGCTGTGAGGAGGAGGGTTTATTCTCCAGGTCTTTAACCATTTCCCAGAACTTCTTGGGGTTAGACCCACAGAGAGGGAACTGCTCCTTAAAGTAACTAGCTTTAGCCTTCCGGATAGCCTGAGTGCACTTATTTCTCATTTGCCGGAACGAGACCCAGTCAGCCTGAGTAAGCGTGTGCCGAGCCTTTCGCCAAATATAATTCTTGAGGTGGAGTAACTCTGCCAGATCACGGTCGAACCAGGGGCTGAACCTGTTTTTAATTCTAATTTTCTTTATTGGGGCATGTTTGTTAACAATACCACTGAAAATATCAAAAAAGAAGGTCCAAGCATCTTCGACAGAGGGGATCAAGCTGATTCTATACCAATTTACAGAGGCCAGGTCATGAAGGAAGGCTTGCTCATGAAGTAATTTTTTTCAGGACAGGTCGTTTCACTGAGTAGCCATTACAAACACAGGCTGTAAAACAGTGATCATTAAGGTCATTACAGAAAACACCAGGCTGATACCTATCAGGATTATTTGTGAGGATAACATCAAGGAGAGTAGCCTTTTCTGGGTGTTTGGAGTCATACTTTGTGGGATTGGTAATAATCTGAGAAAGATTTAGGGAGTCCCATTGCTTTAGGACTTGGTCAGGTGGTTTAAGCATGTCCCAGTTTAGGTCACATAGCAGGACAAATTCAGACTTAGTGTAAGGGGCCAGGAGAGAGCTTAGGGCAGGTAGGGTACAGGCCGGTGCTGATGGTGGATGATAACACCCTGAAACAGTC